TGACCTGTCACATGCTATGTTCCATCTTGAGTTGCAAGTTCTAGGCAGGAACTTTTGATTTATTCCTCTCAGAGTTTCTTGGGAAGATTGAACAGGGTTTGAAAAGATGTTCCTCCTGTTCTAAAGTCCAGTTTAGCTTAGGTTTCAATTCCAGACAAAAATAGCATTTTGATCTTTATTATGGTTTAAAAATTAGAAATTACTTTTGTGCCATTTGCGTTTGTGCCCACTTAAGCCAGAGTGGTACTGGAGGGTGGAGGTGAGCAAGCACAGTGGTGTTAATACATCATACAGAATGATTTTGGCTTGTTTTGGTTGGTTGGGGGGTTTCTTGCCATTTCTTAACCACTTTCTGAGCCATCGAAGAAGGATTGTAAGATTGGTTCAAGGCTTGATAACAAAATCTTCAGTAATGAACATTTTTGAAGGAGAGCTAAGATTAAGATTCCTGCATGAACTTAAATTCATAGCCACTAAGGTGTTACTGCCAGCTTTTTTTTTGTAAGTTCTTCTTTAGTCTTTTTTTTAATTGGTGTAATATGAGGCTGAGATATGTTAGTTTCAATCTTGACATGCTTTATGCAAACTGGCACAGCATTATTGATTTTAATTCCTGACTGGTGTAATGTTCTTAAAGATTGACCTTGTGTAACCAGTAATAATACATTGTCTGTTACATAAGCTATGATTGGTATGCATTATGTAAATATATGAAGACAGAATATGTCCTATTGGAGTTAACAATTGATAGTATACAGGTATGTGCCTAACCTGGCAAAGAATAATGTTGGAAAGCAGTAGCTTCAGAGCTAGTGTTAATATTTCTGTTTGATGTATATGCACGTGTATTACATGTACATGCAGTCCGCTCTGTAATGGGGCAAGATCCCTCCTTATGCTATGTTAATATTCAGTGTGACTAGGAAGAGTGGAGTCTGTGCTGGCAGGGTTCCTACTGTGGTTTTTGGTTTGGGTTTTTCTTCTTCATTTTCTGAGCCCGGATTGGTGGGAATCAATATATGTCTTGTCATAAATTATAGCAGCTAAAGCCTACTCTGAATCATAGGTTTTCAAAATGTTTTTGATCTGTGGATGAGTGCAGTGCTCAGTGCTCCACGGAACGGGTGTAAGCCCACTGACAGTGGCCCTCTTATCCTTGGAGTAATCCATGAACTTCACAAACAAGGGACCTTCTGGCCCCCAGGGGGAAAACAACTGTCATTTTAAGTGTGTGTCTTCTCTTCCAGGCGGACTTGAGCTTGCCCTGCCTGGGCACTGAGCTAGCTGGGTGCAAAGCAGCTCTGAGCTTGGAAGCTGTGTAATCCGGCTGGCGTGGCAGAGCAAGCTGGGAGCTGTTTGCAAAGGGCCGTGTGGGCACTCCTGAACTAGTATATCAGCTCTAGCAATTCCAGAGGCATTTTGTGGTTAGGTAGAGCAATGACCCCTCTGACTTGCCTCCTTTGAAGGCATTAGTAACATGCTTTCAGTCTTTCAGTTAAGTGGTGGGGTGAGTTATGGTGGAGCGCTGTACCAGTTACCAGCTGTTTAGTGGAGATCTCAAAGGCCCTGCCAGATCAGTCTTCTGGCTAATTTTAGAGACAGCATAAAACAGATAAGGGCTGTGGCTACATGTTTGAGTGCCTGTCCATTTATAAGCTCATAGTACAGTCAAGCTATCTGCATCCCCTGTTCTGGTCTCTCTCTCCTCCCATGGGTAAAAATGGTGGCAAGGCTATGGCAGTATGAGCTTCAGCATGTTTTGGAGACTGCAGGACAAGCTTTTAAAGCATTTAAAAGGAGGAGAATATTTTGTTTGTCCTCACAGTTTTTTAGTGTCTTGCCTTTTTTCAGGATTAGGAGAAGTCAGTCAAAGAGCTCAGCAATTAGATACTACTGCAAGGGACGCCTGTCCTTTTGCAGCCCCTGGCCATGTGGGCCTGCCCCATCCCTTGCTGGTGCAAGTCACAGATGTGATCAAAAATCACCATACAAAAATAAGTGTTTTTCTGCTTGTTTAGTGAGCACAGCTGGTTTCCTGAGAGAACAGACAAACACCAAAGGTGGTTCAAAGGAGAGGGGAGATCTTCAGAGTATGCAGACAACCAGGACTGCTCTGGAAGCAGTGAGCCATCACAGTTTACGGTGCCTCACCTTTACTACACTGAGCACTACGAAAGCAACAGGATGAGTAGCAGGGAGTAGCTTGTGAGACACCAAACAACACTGAATGAGTTTGGAATTTCCTATAAATCATTAGTAAAAGTACGATAGGTCTTTGTTTCTTTTCGTTCAGATGTATGAGAATAATAAGAAAAAAAAAAACAGCTAACTCTCACTACCTGTAAGAAATTACAATTGTTCAAGGTGCTAAAAGTGTTACCTTTTATTGGAAACAAAAGTTCATGGTGTTAACAGGTAAGGTCATCCTTGCTTTACCTGTACAAATCAATTTATTCCCTTAAGGGAGAAAAATTAAACTTGGAAGATATTAGTGCCTTCAGTATTGCTTAGTTTTTATATATGCATTTATAAATTGTGAGGGTAATCACAGTACTCTTGCAAGCCTTAAAAAGTCTTAAAAAGGAAATGGAGGAAGTCCTAAACCTAGATATGCTGTATGCAGTGTCATATTGAACTTAGTTGCAGTAAGTTACTGAATCCTTCACAGAAAAAGTGAAAAATGGTAACAGAATTATGAATTATTTTCTCAGTGTTGGTGAAAGACCTTGGAGGTAAACGTTTTAGGCTTGCTTTCTCTCTTTTTAGTAAAATTTAACTGTGCCATTTGACTTACTACAAGCATCCATTCTGAGGCAATAGTTTTCAGACCTGTGCTTTTCCTTCAATTTCAAATAAATAAATCTCATTGTGTTATCAGAAAGCTTGGTCATCCGTCCCCTGATTTTTAGGCAGTTGTTTCATCTTCCAGATCTGAATTCCATAACTTGTTGATAAATTGGATCTATAGGACTATGCTGTTTTTTCCTCAGTGCCTTTGATTGCTTCATACTAAGTATAGATGTTTCAGCGCGTAGTTAATCATAAAAATTTTTTTCTTACCAACTGAGATGAGCTTTCTTCCACCTTAGAAAACAATGCCTTCAAATGATGGAATCAGTAATGTTTGGTCAGATCTTTCAGTCATATGGCAATGTAGCTATACTGTCCCTCTTTTAGTCACTTACTGATTTTTGTGTGTTATGTGCCATTTGTTCTGTTCATGGGAAAATTCTAAACTTTAACTTAAAAACAGAAGAAAAAATGGACAAGTAGAACCTTTTCCTTGATGGGAATCTTTCCCTGAATTCCAGTGGCATTTGAATTGGGCTAATAATAAGATATGGCGGAAATACCTTATTTTAAAAAGTCTCTTTAAAAAAAAAAACACAACACCCCTGGCTTCTCTCCACCCTTCCTTTCCCCCAACCCACAAACTCTCTCCCCTGAGATTATGGAATTAAATAAATTTAAGTGCAACAGAGGATTCATTGCCTAAAAAAAAAATTTAGAAGTGGACAAAAAAGGAGCAAGATCCTGCATATTAAAAGTGAGTCATTGAGTTCTTTCCTAACAGAATTTAAATTGACTCATCATATTGCATAAAGTTTGCAATACCACAGGCCTGATCTGATATTATTATTTAAAAGTGCACTGGCGACTTACGATTGTGTGGGTTTATGTGAAATCACATCAGATGACAGTCTGATCTAGAAATTGTAACGTAAATTAAATCATAAAATCTGAAGCTACATTTCTGTTATGTGTAAAATAAGCAAATGAAAAGTATCCCTTGACATGTCTTCTTTAAAACTTTAAAAATGTGAAAATGCAGTATGATCTTTTAGTGGGTAGAGTCTTGTTTCTTGTTGCCAGAGGAGCAAGAGCAATATGGTTACTCTTGAAAATTCTAGTATAAGTAGATTTTTCTCCTTGACAATCTGTAGGATTCTCCAGGAAGTGGTTTTTTTTTCTTTTTCCCCAGTTAGATTTTTTTTCTGTTTTAGATTACCTTCATTTTTTAAGTTTGTGGTTTTATTTTTTATAAATGAAACTTATTTTTTCTCTGAGTTGAACGCCTTGTGAATCCTGCAGAGAGATGAAGATCCCTATCAAGCCTGAAATTGTATTTTAAGGAACTGTAGGCATATATTTATGTGACTAATCTACTATATAATCATTTAATGCTATACATAGCAATCTCAGATAAATCTGAGTTTTCAGTATTCTCAGTGGCTGTATGTCTTACTGTACTCCTAGAGAGGAAAATGTGCTTTTGAGAGAAGACTAGAGGATGATTTTCATTCCTTAGGTGTTTTTTTCTCCTTTTTTTTTTTTTTTTTTTTTTTGTTAGGGAATGAAATCTCAATTATTCTAACCACAGGTGCAATGTTCTGTCATTTTTACTGTTATTTGTTTCAAGGTGGAGGAAAGGCTGCTAGAGCAGGTAATTTGTGATTTTGTGAGACTGCCTGACAGCTGTTAATAGAGATATAATTGGTTTTTGTTAGAGGTGAAATTTTGAATTCTAGAGAACATACTGAATTAGTCCACAGTTTGCAAGGTGCTTTTAGGTCACCATACCTCATTAAATGAAGAATGGGAGAAACTTGCCAGAACTCTGGCACTGCAGAAGTTTAACTAATGCAAGGGCATCCATTTCCTAAAATCTGCTGCTGAAAGTGATATGAATCATACCCCCTTTGTAATTCACATACTGGGGAAATGGTTTTAGGACTCAGTTTTGTTACAGACAGTATTGTACCACACTGAGGATTTGCACTGAAGTCAGTGGGACTACTCATTCTTTGTGCAGATCACAGATACAAAACTGAGCACTTAAGTTTACTGAGTGACAGATATATGGAAGTGTATTTTATGTGAACATATTTGAATGTTTAGTTTGTGTATCACACAAGCAGTGTGATGTGTCTGTTGCTTCTTCTTGCCTGTTGGAAGTATTTTGTAGTTTGTGTATGTCTTGACTTCTCTTTCATCTCTCCCTGCCTTTTTCTCATGTCTGCTGTACTGACAGCCACTTTCCAGTGACTAGATTTTAAGCTTTGAATATTCTTTTTTGTTTTCTTCCTTAAGAGATTTTAAGGTGGATTTTATGGCTTTTACCTTTGACCTTTTTCCTAGTATTTTGAATTATTCTGAAGTTAGCTAATTTTTTTTTTTTAAATCTTTCCTTCCTCTCATGTTTTTTATTTCTGGTTTTATCTTGGTTCTTCTCTACATGTATGTTTTGTGCATTTTCTCTGTGTGTTGTTGCCTCATATTAGTTTATCACGAATCTTGAGTTTCTTTCTTTCACTTGTTCTTGCCTTTTTGTATACTGTTAAGCAGAGCCTTGGGAATATATTTTTGCTTGACATTAGAGGTGCAACTTCAGAAAACAGTGGAAACATACTATTTGAAAAAAAACTTTGTGCATTTTAATTAGGTAAAAGGCCGATATCTATGAACAAGAATGAAGGAACAGAAGTGTTTCAATAATACACTTTCTTTTCTGTTTTTCTGTATCTAAGGAATTGCTTCTTTAATTATTTTCAGGCAATGAGAAACCAAAAAGAAAACCTCTTTTAAATGAAGAATTCTGCAGAATTATGGAACCTGCTTTTTTTCATATTGATGTCTTTTCTTATGTGCATTGATACGAGATGGTCAGTTCTTGTGTTCAGTAAATGAAGATTCACTTCACTGGCAGAATCCCTCATAAAAATATTGATTTATTTCGTTTTCAGTGCAATGAAACTTCCTTCTTTTTTGAAGCACGTAACAAGATCACATGCAAACATCTCTGGAAATGCTGTGTAGAACATCATACGTTTTTCAGGTGAGTGATGCAGAAGTTTTGGTTTCGTTACCAAAAGGTGGGAGACTATATTGAGTAAGAACCTTATCATACCTACAGAGTCGTGTAACACAGGCTTGGTGCCTGGAACCACATTTTTTCTCTTGGTTACAGAATGCTCTTAAAAGCTGATGCCTTTCCTTCTCTTAAAATGACGTGAAACAATAATTTTTAAATTGAGTAGTTCGGTGGTTTCTTTTGTCTCAGAATTCTTTTTTTTCTGGTTGCGTAAAGTAGGCTTTAACAGAAGTGTCCACAAATGTATGTGGAGGGATTTAAGCTGCCATATACATTTTTATGTATTTAGCCATCAAATTTTCTGTACCAGAATTGACTTGAGTGAGGCCTTTGGATTTCAGACATTACTATTTCCTATAATGCATAGAAATTTTGTTTTTTCATAGAAAAACTCGTTGAGTTTCCATAATGTTTTGCTTACTTATTGAATTGTGTAAAATGTTTCCAATATTACACATCTCAAAACACTTTCTTTTACTGTTGCAAAAACACTAACAGAAATGTGCAATGGTGTCTATCTAGGAACTGGTTGATGGGAGGCTTGGGGCTGGCTTTAGCAGTGCTGAAAATGAGTAAGCTCAGAATCCCTCCTGCAATCTCATTACTGTGGCATGATGTTTTTGCCTGCTCCTGTGAAATATTAAGTGAAAGGCTGCTGTTGCCAGCAGTTTACAGTAGACCCTGAAATAAAGAGGTCCGCAGTCAAAAGAGGAGGGCATAAACATGAGGCCTTGTGGAGCTCTCAACCCCATGAGAGTCTTCCTGAAGGTAGGGATGAAGAGGAAGTAGCAGAAAAGTTTGTATTTCTCTTCTCTTTTCTTGGGAAGGGGACTGTAATTGAGACTTATCTATGTAACTTACTCTGTTCTTTTATTTTTCAAACTACATAGAGTGCCAGAGAATGAATCAAACTCTCTGTCAAGAAAATTCAGCAAGTTTGGATCCATAGGTTATAAACATCGGTACAGGTGAATTTATTTCATTGTTTAAACCTCAATTAATTCCTTCTTCATTCCTTCTTTTCTTCTCTTTTCTTCCAATGAGAGAAAAACCCCACCCAGACTATGACTCAGAGCAGTTCTGCTGACAAAGCATGAATCAGGGCCGTTTTAACAGACTCCTGTTGGGAGTCTGGCAGTTTTGCGACAAATGTGAGTTACTTCTCATTTTCCAGATGCTCAGAGTTGGCTAGGGCCTGCTGTAGCCCGTAGTGAAAGTGAGAGCAGCCTTGGCAATGTTTTAAGTCAAAGTCTCCTTATAAGTCCTGAAATTATGTTCATGTTGTAAAGGGTTTTTCCTGACAACTGTGGAATAGCAAAATGAGGAGGCATGTTGGCTGCTGCCTTTCTTCTGGGAATTGGCAAAGCATTGGTGCAAAGAAGTGTATAAAGTCTGTAACTGTGATGCTCTTCTTTACAGCTGCAGTTAAGCTATGGCAAGGGTTCTTGGTCTGAATCATGTCTAATCCTGTAGCAGTACTGCTGGTGCAGTGCTGTTGATTTAAGAGTAAAAATGAGGGCAGATCTGAAGGGAGATGGGGGTATCTTTTCTAACAGGAATAAGTGGCAAAATTGGATACGCATTCAAGGCTGCAAGCCTTGAAAGATGCAGTAAACTTCAGACTAAAGGTGTATAGGGAGCACTTAGTCTCAATTTTAGCCTGACTTAACAAAGCAGACAGTGTAACATAAAGGACGGTTCATACTGTGATACAGAGGAAGATGTGGCAGGGAGAGTGGGTTTAAGATCCTCTAGCTGCTGTGCCACAAAGGACTAACAGAATATAGGATGTAGTTAAAATTCTAAGATAATTCTAAGAAACGCAGTAGTTTTTACTGAGTTTTATTGAGACTTTATGTTTTTGAGTCTGTTGAAATGATGGAGTCTTTGTCTAGTGAGTAAGGCACTTGATTTGGCAATTGGCAACCACTGTTTTAAATCCAGTTCTGTCACGTTGGCTGAACAATTTTCAGGCAAATAATTTATGGTCTGATTTTTAGAATTGCTTTAGAGTTGTGTACTCGGTGAACCTCAAAAGGATGGTGGAAAGCACCAAATCAAATTCAAAGCAGCACATCTGAAAGCCAGGCCCCTTTCTTTTTGCATTTTCATTTTCCCTGTTGGTCAAGTGAGAATAAAAATAGTTTGTCATCTTTTGTAGTTATTTTGAAGCTGCTGGGTGAAAAGCCTCTGTTTACTATAATGGCAAATTTTAGAGTTTTTTTCCATGGCCTGCAAATATACCAGGTTTGTTTAGGTTTATTTTTGGCTTCTCTATCTGTCTCTCCTTCCTGTGTGTATTTCCACCATCACGCAAGAAATACATGGATCGTAATGGGTAAGGCTGACAATCATTAGTTAGGCAGTTCTTCGTCACTGCTGCTTAGGGAGACTTTTCTAAAAACAGGAAGACCATAACCCCCGATTTCTCTAGCAGCTCCTGGATTGGAGTTAGTATCTGTGGTAGGTACTAATAGCAGTGTGTAATAGTAGCTCCATTACACTTGTCATCAGTCAGTCAGAATTCATAGTCAACTGTCTGTTACCCTTGGATGTAAGATCTTGCTTGCAAGGAAGGTGTTACTGATGGAGAGATGACTATGCCAGTGCTGAGCCTGAGCTCATGTGACTGAATTTCAGCAGACTCCAGCCAGGATGACTGGTGTGTTTCTGTCTCGTCTTCTTCAATGTATTTCATAATTATCCAGATTATTTGGGTTATCACATTATCTGGCATGATCCAGCTTCTTTTTACTGTAGATAAGAGGGGAGTGATTGTACTGCCTTTGGGGTTTCTAGTTGGATCCTGACCCATATAAACCCCATCTGTGAAACTGGGTAGGAGCTCAGTGGAGTCCTGCCAGAGTACTGCAGATAAGAGTTTCCTTTGTTGGACCATTTCAGCAGATTGGAGCAGGGCACTGGTGCTGGGGAGGAGAAAACTTCGTACTTACCAGGACCTTCCAATCAATTTTAAAAAAATACTATGAAGCAGTTAA